CCAGATGTGCATTCCATCAAAATAGGTAACTACGCGTGATGGCACAGCCGATCACGCGTTGACTCTAACTACTCCGCAGAATCATACATGACGTTATATAACCAGGAGATACTGCGCATGGCAGTAGATAAAGACATTCCAAACTATGTATATAAAAGACGGGGGATTCTAGGGGAATTTGGGACTCATTGAAGATGCGGCAGACGTGCCTTGCGGTGATTTCCCGGATTCCCTTTGCTGACTGTTGGAGTCCCCCAGTCACTGGGCAACGGGTGATGCTACAATATCCGGTGATGTATTGATGCTTTATTCTTGCTATATAATATGATCTAAATATGATTTGCAATTCTGACAATTCTTATGTTATTATACTAACAGAACTTATTCAATAAATCATGTTTTGCTTTAATATTTATTAAGCCTAATCCGTGTATTAGTGAGCGATTTGTAGTAGTGTTAAAAAACACTTTGTTTTGAGGCAAAACACATGACTATGCAAAAACGCACCCTAATCGCTGTAAAATTGCACGTTTTCAGTAGCCATTATCAGCTCCTTTTTTCTATCGGCAAAATGCTAACAATATTTTAGGCCGATACATTCTGGCCGCTGGTATATTGGTGCATCCCTGGTATAGTGTACAGCGTGTATATAATGTACATAGGGTGGAGCGTGTATACAGGGTGTAGTGTGTGTATATAGGGAGTGGTGTGTATATAGGGTGTATACATTGCGTGTGGATAATAAACATGTATACAGTCACCTCTCCTCTCCAGATCTTCTCTCCCGTACTCTGTGAATTGCTTGAGCTCCTCCAGACATTGATTCTCCAGATAATTCTTGTGTCTCTCCCCCTCTCTGACCTCCGGACTGTTCCATCTCTGTGTGGAGATCTGAGCCTCATTCATGGTCGGGATATAGATCCATCTCTGTGTGTCCAGAGACAGGAGTTCTCTCCCATCATATCCGTACTGACTATACCCCGCAGTGGTGCCGTCATCTCTCAGCTCACAGCCTAACATCCACTGATAGATATGGATCCCTGCAGAGAGAAGAGGGAGATGTGAGCCGGGATCAGAGAGTGTCATGTGTGTGATATGTAGGAGGTGACGGTATAGGGAGGAGATATGTACAGGGATGGAGGTGTGTGATATGTGATATGTAGGAGGTGACGGTATAGGGGGGAGATATGTACAGGGATGGAGGTGTGTGATACGTGATGATGTAGGAGGTGATGGTATAGGGAGGAGATATGTACAGGGATGGAGGTGTGTGATATGTGATATGTAGGAGGTGACGGTATAGGGAGGAGATATGTACAGGGATGGAGGTGTGTGATATGTGATATGTAGGAGGTGACGGTATAGGGGGGAGATATGTACAGGGATGGAGGTGTGTGATATGTGATGATGTAGGAGGTGACGGTATAGGGAGGAGATATGTACAGGGATGGAGGCGTGTGATAGGTGATGTAGGAGGTGACGGTATAGGGAAGAGATTTGTACGGGGATGGAGGTGTGTGATACGTGATGATGTACGAGGTGACGGTTATAGGGAGGAGATATGTACAGGGATGGAGGTGTGTGATACGTAATGGAGGAGGGTGACGGTATAGAGGGGAGATATGTACAGGGATGGAGGTGTGTGATACGTGATGATGTAGGAGGTGACGGTTTATAGGGAGGAGATATGTACGGGGATGGAGGCGTGTGATACGTGATGATGTAGGAGGTGACGGTATAGGGAGGAGATATGTACGGGGATGGAGGCGTGTGATACGTGATGATGTAGGAGGTGACGGTATAGGGAGGAGATATGTACGGGGATGGAGGCGTGTGATACGTGATGATGTAGGAGGTGACGGTATAGGGAGGAGATATGTACGGGGATGGAGGAGCGTGTGATACGTGATGATGTAGGAGGTGACGGTATAGGGAGGAGATATGTACGGGGATGGAGGCGTGTGATACGTGATGATGTAGGAGGTGACGGTATAGGGAGGAGATATGTACGGGGATGGAGGCGTGTGATACGTGATGATGTAGGAGGTGACGGTATATGGAGGAGATATGTACAGGGATGGAGGCGTGTGATACGTGATGATGTAGGAGGTGACGGTATAGGGAGGAGATATGTACAGGGATGGAGGCGTGTGATACGTGATGATGTAGGAGGTGACGGTATAGGGAGGAGATATGTACAGGGATGGAGGCGTGTGATACGTGATATGTAGGAGGTGACGGTATAGGAGGAGATATGTACAGGGATGGAGGCGTGTGATACGTGATGATGGAGGAGGTGACGGTATTGGGAGGAGATTTGTACAGGGATGGAGGCGTGCGATACGTGATGATGGAGGAGGTGACGGTATAGGGAGGAGATATGTACAGGGATGGAGGTGTGTGATGATGTAGGAGGTGACAGTATAGAGGGGTGGGGGATGTATACAGTTGCAAGAAAAAGTATGTGAACCCCTTGGGATTACGTGGAGTTTTGCATGAATTGGGCATAAAATGTGCTCTGAACGTCATCTAAGTCACAACAATAGAAGAACACAGTCTGCTGAACATAATACTACACAAAACATTAGATGTTGCCATGGTTTAATTGCACATAACATGTAAACATTCACAGTGCAGGGAGGAAAAAGTATGTGAACCTTTGGACTTAATAACTGGTTGACCCTCCTTTGGCAGCAATAACCTCAACCAAACGTTTCCTGTAGTTGCAGATCAGACCTGCACAACGATCTGGAGTCATTTTGGACCACTCCTCTTCACAAAACTGTTTCAGTGTAGCAATATTCTTGGGATGTCTGGTGTGAATCGCTCTCTTAAGGTCATGCCACAGCATTTCAATCGGGTTGAGGTCAGGACTCTGACTGGGCCACTCCAGAAGGCGTATTCTGTGCTGTTACAGCCATTGTTTTGTTGAATTACTTGTATGCTTTGGGTCATTGTCCTGTTGCATCACCCATCCTCTGCGGGAGCTTCAGTTGGCGGACAGATGGTCGTACGTTTTCCTGCAAAATGTCTTGATAAACTCTGGAATTCATTTTCCCATCAATGACAACAATCCGTCCAGGCCCTGAGGCAGCAAAGCAGCCCCAAACCATGATGCTCCCTCCGCCATGTTTCACAGTGGGGGATGAGGTTTTGATGTTGGTGTGCTGTGCCTTTTTTTCTCCACACATAGTGATGTGTGTTCTTCCCAAACAACTCAATCTTGGTTTCATCTGTCCACAGTATATTTTGCCAGTAGTGCTGTGGAACTACCAGGTGCTCTTTTGCAAACTTCAAACGTGCTGCAATATTCTTTTTGGACAGCAATGGCTTCCTCCGTGGTGTCCTCCCATGTACTCCATTCTTGTTTAATGTTTTCCTTATTGTAGATGTGTCAACAAAAATGTTAGCATGTGCCAGAGATTTCTGTAGGTCTTTAGCTGACACTCTGGGATTCTTCTTTACCTCATGCAGCATTCTGCGCTGTACTCTTGCAGTCATTTTTACAGGACGACCACGCCTAGGGAGAGTAGCAACAGTGCTAAACTTTCTCCATTTGTAGACAGTCTGTCTTACCGTGGACACATGAACATCAAGGCTTTTGGAGATACTTTTGTATCCCTTTCCAGCTTCATGCAAGTCAACAATTCTTGATCGTAGGTCTTCTGAGACCCCCCCAAGGGGTTCATATACTTTTTCTTGCAACTGTACATACACACACACACACACACTATTATATATATACATATTAGTATAAAACATGATTTCTCTGTGTAATATATGAATTCCTGTGCGCTCCTTTCTCTGTCCTATCACCTTCCCTGATGTCTGTCATGTGACCTCAAACCTCCTCCCAGATCAGCAAAAGAGGAAGTCCCAACACCAGCCATACTACAACATTGGACCCATAAAATCCATACAAATCACCCAACACCACATTTCCCGGACAAGCTCCTGAGAAGCGCCCATTCCACCATGACACCCATAACCCATCATCCTCCCCTCCCCCCCTATACACAGTATGCTGGTTGCAGTGTTCCTCTTTATCACCGGGGGGGGGGGGGGCGGCACAGTACAGGGGATGACCAGAGACTGCGGACACAGTACAGGAGATGACCAGAGACTGCGGACACAGTACAGAAGATGACCAGAGACTGCGGACACAGTACAGGAGATGACCAGAGACTGCGGACACAGTACAGGAGATGACCAGAGACTGCGGACACAGTACAGGAGATGACCAGAGACTGCGGACACAGTACAGGAGATGACCAGAGACTGCGGACACAGTACAGGAGAAGACCAGAGACTGCGGACACAGTACAGGAGATGACCAGAGACTGCGGACACAGTACAGGAGAAGACCAGAGAGACTGCGGACACAGTACAGGAGATGACCAGAGACTGCGGACACAGTACAGGAGATGACCAGAGACTGCGGACACAGTACAGGAGATGACCAGAGACTGCGGACACAGTACAGGAGAAGACCAGAGACTGCGGGCACAGTGCAGGAGATGACCAGAGACTGCGGACACAGTACAGGAGAAGACCAGAGACTGCGGACACAGTGCAGGAGATGACCAGAGACTGCGGACACAGTGCAGGAGATGACCAGAGACTGCGGACACAGTACAGATGACCAGAGACTGCGGACACAGTGCAGGAGATGACCAGAGACTGCGGACACAGTGCAGGAGAAGACCAGAGACTGCGGACACAGTGCAGGAGAAGACCAGAGACTGCGGACACAGTGCAGGAGATGACCAGAGACTGCGGACACAGTACAGGAGATGACCAGAGACTGCGGACACAGTGCAGGAGATGACCACAGACTGCGGACACAGTGCAGGAGATGACCACAGACTGCGGACACAGTGCAGGAGATGATCAGAGACTGCGGACACAGTGCAGGAGATGACCAGAGACTGCGGACACAGTGCAGGAGATGACCAGAGACTGCGGACACAGTGCAGGAGATGACCAGAGACTGCGGACACAGTGCAGGAGATGACCAGAGACTGCGGACAAAGTGCAGGAGATGACCAGAGACTGCGGACACAGTGCAAGAGATGACCAGAGACTGCGGACATTAGTACAGGAGATGACCAGAGACTGCGGACATAGTACAGGAGATGACCAGAGACTGCGGGACATAGTACAGGAGATGACCAGAGACTGCGGACATAGTACAGGAGATGACCAGAGACTGCGGACATAGTACAGGAGATGACAGAGACTGCGGACAGTACAGGAGATGACCAGAGACTGCGGACATAGTACAGGAGATGACCAGAGACTGCGGACATAGTACAGGAGATTACCAGAGACTGCGGACACAGTACAGGGGATGACAGAGACTGCGGACATAGTACAGGAGATGACCAGAGACTGCGGACAGTACAGGAGATGACCAGAGACTGCGGACACGGTACAGAAGATGACCAGAGACTGCGGACATAGTACAGGAGATGACCAGAGACTGCAGACAGTACAGGGGATGACTAAGAGACTGCGGACAGTACAGGAGATGACCAGAGACTGCGGACAGTACAGGAGATTACAGAGACTGCGGACACAGTACAGGAGATGACCAGAGTGGACATACAACGGCGGGGTGGGAATACTGGGGCCGACCGCTCCATAAGACGCACAGACATTTCCCCCCAAGTGTGTCTTATGGAGCGAAATAGTGCCCCATCATTGGTGTCAGTGGGAGGGAATAGTGCCCCATCATTGGTGTCAGTGGGAGGAATAGGGCCCCATCATTGGTGTCAGGTGGGAGGAATAGGGCCCCATCATTGGTGTCAGTGGGAGGAATAGGGCCCCCATCATTGGTGTCAGTGGGAGGAAATAGTGTCCCATCATTGGTGTCAGTGGGAGGAATAGTGCCCCATCATTGGTGTCAGTGGAGGGAATAGTGCCCCATCATTGGTATCAGTGTGAGGAATAGTGCCCCATCATTGGTATCAGTGGGAGGAATAGTGCCCCATCATTGGTATCAGTGGGAGGAATAGTGCCCCATCATTGGTGTCAGTGGGGGGAGGAATAGTGACCCATCATTGGTGTCAGTGGGAGGAATAGTGCCCCATCGTTGGTGTCGGGGGGGGGAGGAATAGTGCCCCCATCGTTGGTGTCAGTGGGGGGAGGAATAGTGCCCGTCGTTGGTGTCAGTGTGGGGGGAGGGGGAATAGTGCCCTGTCATCGGTGTCAGTGGGGGAAGGGGATAGTGTCCCATCATTGGTGTCAGTGGGAAGAATAGTGCACCACCTTTGGTGTCAGTGGGAGGAAGAGTACGTCATTGGTGTCAGTGGGAAGGGGGGGGGGAATAGTGCCCCGTCATTGGTGTCAGTGGGAGTAATAGTACGTCATAGGTGTCAGTGGGGGGAATACTGCCCCCTCAATGGTGTCAGTGGGAGGAATAGTACGTCATTGGTGTCAGAGGGGGAATAGTGCCCCATCTTTAGTGTCAGTAGGGGGGATAGTGTCCCAACATTGGTGTCAGTGGGGGAAGGAATAATGTTCCATCGTTGGTGTCAGTAGGGGGGATAGTGTCCCATCGTTGGTGTCGGTGGGGGAAGGAATAGTGGTCCCATCGTTTGTGTCAGTGGGGGGATAGTGTCCCATCGTTGGTGTCAGTGGGGGGAAGGAATAGTGTTCCATCGTTGGTGTCAGTGGGGGAAGGAATAGTGCCCCATCGTTGGTGTCAGTGGGGGGGAGGAATAGTGCCCCATCGTTGGTGTCAGTGGGGGGTGGAATAGTGCCCCATCGTTGGTGTCAGTGGGAGGAATAGTGTTCCATCGTTGGTGTCAGTGGGGGGGGGATAGTGTTCCATCGTTGGTGTCAGTGAGGGGGGAGGAATAGTGCCCCATCGTTGGTGTCAGTGGGGGGGAGGAATAGTGCCCCATCGTTAGTGTCAGTGGGGGGGGGGAATAGTGCCCCATCGTTGGTGTCAGTGGGGGGGAGGAATAGTGCCCCATCGTTGGTGTCAGTGGGGGGGAGGAATAGTGCCCCATCGTTGGTTTCAGTGGGGGGTGGAATAGTGCCCCATCGTTGGTGTCAGTGGGGGGGATAGTGTCCCATCATTGGTGTCAGTGGGGGGGAAGAATAGTGCCCCATCGTTGGTGTCAGTGGGGGGGAGGAATAGTGCCCCATCATTTGTGTCAGTGGGGGGGAGGAAAAAGTGCCCCATCATTGGTGCCAGTGGAGGAATAGTGTCCCATCATTGGTGTCAGTGGGAGGAATAATGCCCCATCATTAGTATCAGTGACACCAATGATGGGGCAATATTCCTCTCACACCAATGACACATAACTTGCTGACCCCTTTTTCAGCATGGTGCTGTTGCAGCCAGCATACCTGGTTGCAGCAGCACCATCAGCAGCTGTCCTTCTTCACTCGGGCCTCTCCCTCACTAGATGTTCGCGGGGTCGCTCGGCCCCACCTCCTCGTAGGTGATTGGGCTGCCTGTGTGCCTTTCCTGAGCTACAGTTCTGGCGCCCAATCACCGTGAGGAGGCGGAGCCGAGCGGGCAGGAGTGAGGGAGTGGCCGGAGTGAATGAAGGAGCAGCGCTTCCTGGACTGGATCGTCGTGGGACTGGGCCCGGAGCCAGGTAAGGTACAGCAGCCCCCAGCCCACCCATGTACTCAGTGTCCCTTCCTGTCCCGCCCCTGCCGGGGGCCGGATAAATGGCCTCGGCGGGCCACATGTGGCCCACAGGCCATAGTTTGAGGACCCCTGTGTTAGAGAAATCAACCCGAAGACTGAACTAAAGAGATCTTTACATGTATGGCCAGCTGAAGATAGGAGCCTTGTACTGTGCTCCTCCCTGGATCAGTCCATTGTACACGACTCACCATCATCACTTATAATTGATAGGTTTTTTCATGGAGTAACTGGCTTTATCCTATATTTATCCACTTGTCCTCCAGAAAATTCCCCCCTCCCCCTCCTTACCAGGGCCATGGTTTGCTATTCAGCACTGCTTTACTATTTCAACTGGTAATTGCGCAGTCATGCAACACTGTACCCAAACGAAATGTATGTCCTTTTGTTCCACACAAATAGAGCTCTCTTTTGGTGGTATTTGATCACTGGGTGATCAATGGTAATGGGTAATAGTAATGGGACAGAATAATAATCATAAATCAAACTTTCACTTTTTAATATTGGTTGCAATATCCTTTGCAGTCAATTAGCCAGCCTGAAGTCTGGCTGTTGTTCCAGAACTGTGAAGGCTTTTTTAGAATGTCGTTTGGCAAACTCTAATCTGGCCTTCCTGTTTTTGAGGTCACCAATGGTTTCCCTATCTTGTGGTGAACCCTCTGTATTCTCACTCTGGTGAAGTCTTCTCTTGATTGTTGACTTTGACACACATACACCTACCTCCTGGAGAGTGTTCTTGATCTGGCCAACTGTTGTGAAGGGTGTTTTTCTTCACCAGGGAAAGAATTCTTTTCGGTCATCCACCACAGTTGTTTTCTGTGGTCTTCCGGGTCTTTTGGTGTTGCTTGAGCTCACCGTTGCGTTCCTTCTTTTTAAGAATGTTCCAAACAGTTGTTTTGGCCACGCCTAATGTTTTTTTGCTATCTCTCTGATGGGTTTGTTTTGTTTTTCAGCCTAATGATGGCTTCACTTCACTGATAGTGAACAGCTCTTTGGATCTCATCTTGAGAGTTGACAGCAACAGATTGCAAATGCAAATAGCACACTTGTAATGAACTCTGGACCTTTTATCTGCTCATTGTTGTTAATTCTGATAATGATAAATGGGGAATAACACACACCTGGCCATGGAAGCAGCTGAGAAGCCAATTGTCCCATTACTTTTGGTCCCTTAACAAGTAGGGAGCCACATAAGCAAACTGTTGTAATTCCTACACCGTTCACCTGATTTGGATGTAAATTCCCTTAAAATTAAAGCTGACAGTCTGCAGTTAAAGCACATCTTGTTGGTTTTCATTTCAAATCCATTGTGGTAATGTATAGAGCCAAAAAATGTTAGAATTGTGTCGATGTCCCCAATATTTATGGGACTTGACTGTATATATTGATCTATTGCTCACGGTATGCCATGGCTATTTGCGGAATAACACCCCAAAACACATTCTGCTACTTCTTTCTCCCGAGTTATGGGGATACCACTTCTGAGAGACTTTTTGGCAGTCCGACCCCACATACAGGCCCCCAAAACCCAATGACCACCTTCAGGCTTTCAAAGGGCATGTTTAATTCCTCACTACCTATAAAAGTTTGAGCCCCTAAATGCCAGGATAGTACAAACATCCCCCCCACACCTCCAAATCACCCCTTTTTAGAAAGCAGACACCCCAAGGAATTTGATAAGAGGCATGGGAGTATTTGCAGATCTCATTTTTTTTTCACAGGGTTTTGAAACATTTTTGTTTTTTCTTTCTTCATTTTTCAAAAAAAAAAAAAGAAAAAAATACTCACCATGTACCTTAGCAAATACCTTGGACTATCTACTTTTTCAAAAAGGGGTAATGGGGGGGGGGGGGGGGGGAAATTAGCGCTTCTACTATCCCTGGCATTTCAGGGCCAACATAAAAGCTTATGCCACACGCCACCCACTCCTATAACCACTTGAAGAACAATTTTTTATTTTTACACTGTCCCTTTCTATTTTTTTGTTATTACAGGGAACATAAATATACCCAGTTACAGGTATTCTTTTATGAGAAATCCGGGGTCTTTTTCGACATTAGACCTCCTCCTCTGTCCTTACAGCATCTGATGACACCAAAATCAGTGTGAATCAGATGCTTTCCCAATTTAAAAATGGCGCTGATAATATCCGGCAAAATGGAAATAATGAAATACTCATACTGTAGCTTCCAGATTTTCTTAGACCATAGACATGATTGGAGCCATTCGGTCTCTGATCAGCTCTATGGTCAGGGCAGGCAGAATTGCAAACTGAATTTATCTCGGATCCTCCTGTGGGACGGGAGAGCAAAAAAAAAAAAAAAAAAAAAAAAAAAAAAAACACTCAAAGTCCAGCGATGTACCAGTACATTGCTGGTCCATGTTGGGCATATATGGAACAGCAGAGAACATGGCCATATGATGAATTGACCACAAATCATTATTTTATGTAAAGTGCCCATGTTGAGGGTTAGGCCCAAAAAATTTTTTAAAACTCAGAAACTGATAGGTTTCCATCCAAATTGTCTGGGGAAGAGCTGAATTTGGTAGAGGGCGGATGATGTATTGTGTGTATAAATTGCTTTAGCCCACAATCAATTGGTACAAAAATCTTCCATGAAAAACAGCAGAGGGGCTAAACACTAGTGCTGGCAGGCGAACGGGTGGCTGATCCTGAGCGTTTTTGGGGACACTATACAAAGAAGGCCATAGTATAGCTCTGTTATAGTGATCAATATATGTGATCCGTACAAACACTATTACTAGTAATGGCGGCGTGTGTAACAGCGACCTATAGTGTAAGTGCGATAGTGTGGGGGCAATCTAATGCTAGCTGACTCTAGCTGGGGGGGGGCGCTAACTGACCCTGACGCTATCTGATGTCGCTAGTGACAGTAATACAGCGATCGCTGAAAAAGTCTATATACTGACACTGTACTAATGGCACTGGCTGGGTGACGGGGGTGATTAAAAAGGGTTAAATGTGCTCATCTAACTAAAGTTTCCTAAAGCCATTGCAGAAGCGCAGGGAGCTGTTGGGCTTTGGTACAGCGACTCTTCAATGACATCAAGCAAGCATTCTTTTCACTTCTTCAGACACTACATTTCTATGGGCTTCTGGGATATGATAGGGCTTTAACTACTTGCCTACTGAGCACTTACACCTCCTTCCTGCCCAGGCCAATTTTTCAGCACTGTTGCACTTTGAATGACAATTGCACAGTCATGCAACACTGTACCCATATGAAATTTTTATATCATTTTTTTCACACAAATAAAGCTTTCTTTTGGTGGTATTTAATCACAGCTGGTTGTTTTATGTTTTGCGCTATAAACAAAAAAACTGAGCAAAAAAAATTTGAAAAAAAAAAAGTTTGTTTCTATTATAAAATTTTGCAAACAGGTAATTTTTGTCCTTCACTGATGTGCGTTGATGAGGAGGCAGATAGCACACTGATAGGCAACACTGATGGGCACAGGTGGGGGTGGGCACTGCTGGGCACTGATCATCAGGGCACTGATCATCAATGCCCTGATGATCGGTGCCAATCCGTCCTCTGACAAATGCCGGTTATCGGCAATACTTTCCTCAACCTGTGACAGCGTGAGGAAACTGCAGCCGATAACCGGAAACTGCATTGCACACAGCTGATCACGTGGTAAAAGGCTGCTGTGATTGGCCCTAGGACATAGGACACAGATCACGGAGATCGCTGGGTGCGCGCCCCCTGGGGCACGTAGGAGGGCGCATTCTGGAAGAACACCATATGACGCCCTCCCAGAACTGGATAACCGCGCTGTAGCCATCATTCAGCTATAGCGCGGTTGGCAAGTGGTTAAACAGATCTTTACATTGGGCTCTGTTACAATATCATGCTCAGTGATGTTGGGGAGACCAGGCAATCCTGAAAACATTTCTCTATTTTTCTGCAAAAACGCTTTTGCTTGTTGGTTTTGTGGCCTAGACAGGGTACCAGCTACCTGCACCCAATCAACTCCCGCAGGTTCCCCTGAATTGACACTTACCCCAGCAGACACCTGTTCTCTATCTCTCCAGAGTTTTAACAAGTTTACATGATACATTTGGTTTGGCTCTCTTTTCCCTGCCTGGTGTACCTTGTAGTTCACATCACCCACATTTGAAAATTGGCAAAAAACTTGCTCTCCACCGTTGGTATCAGAAAAGCCACCCGGTCTCCTATTTGAAACTGTCTGACTTTAGCTGACCATTTATACACCCTCCTTTGGGCATCCTGAGCCTTCTGGAGATGTTCCCTCACTAACTGCATCACTCTACCCACTCTCTCTTATATGATA